AGCTCAACACCATCCTCTTCACGTAGGACCTTCCCAATTTCCCTTGTCTTTGCTGGTAATACTATTGGTAGTCATAACGGAATTGAAGGATGGACCGCGCAGCGGACATAGCCAGTATGGGTATCTACGTTCAACTCTGACGTCGGACAGACAGACTTCCTCTTCTAGCTACGTTGCAACCGGGAGCTACAGCGGCGTATACCAAAGCGGCAGGGTCTACAACGTTTATAGTACGATATCTCTATTAATTGCCTCTTCCCCTTCTTGATGGCCGAGCCTCGGTTGTCAAGAGCACGCACGTCTTTCACTGTCGATCTATCATCGCCTAGATCGGCAGTGACACAGTTTCGACAAGAGACTCGCAAACATCAACAGGGATGGCTTCTTCTGGTTTTCATGTGAGGACGATGGGTGAGGAGGCAAGTCAAGCCCTTTGCAGACTTTGGCATTCGGATTTCTGTTGTAGACACAACGTCCAACAAGTAAGGGGGGTCCACTCTCAAACTGGCAACCTGTGCTACACATGATTGAAACGAGACTCGGATGAGCGCTTTCTGTCTTATGCAGCGCTTTTACCAGCAATATGAGAGAATAAAGCTAAATATAAAAAAGCACGATGAAGTCAACTGAAACTAAAGAACTGCGAGGAAAAAAATAACTATTTTTCGTATAAACGATAGACGCATTCAACTGAGGAAACTAGTTGGTTGTTATTTCCCGGCTGGTATAAAGATAAAGCCCACAAAAGCATATGAGCCGAACTTACCCTTTTGGACCCTTACGGGTCTGGGCGGAAGAAATTCGAGGAGATGGGGACCGCTTGCGTGATCGGGAGGAGGAGTCATTATCGATCGAAGGACTGCGTCGCCGCCGGGAGCGTGACTCAGAACCGCTACCACCACCCCCACCAGTACTCCCCTGATAATCATTCATTCGCAGTGGCTCTGTACGTTCCAGAGCTCTAAGTATTTCCGGTTCCGCGTGCTTAACACTAGCGATGGAACCGAAGCGACGAATACCATCCTCACACTGAACCGCGCCGGCTGCCTCCAAGTCAGAGGCAAACTTCACGACGGCACAATTGCTGTAGATCTTGGTCTCTGTCAAAAACAATAAAAGAATATACATGTCCTCGTTGTCCGAAATGGAGCAGACGACTGCATTTAATTTGCTGCTGCTGCATGTATGTTCGAAAAAGGAGGACTGGACGTTACCTTCAATTTTTCCATATTTGTCAAGCCAAACTCGCAAGCTATCGTCGCTGACAAATCGAATGCGGATGTTGCGAATTACGACTTTGCCCATACATTCTACGTCCTGGGGAGGTTTTGAGGATCCATTGTCGAATCTTGGCCTCATTTGTGAAGGCGAAAATGTGGCAAGGATGTCGGTGGAAAACCTTAAGTGTAGCAATTGTTTTAAAACAGTTGTAATATGAAGGGACAGCATTAGCAAGTTTACAACTAAACGGCAGCCGTCCCTGTGGCCGCTGAAATGCAAATCCACCACTCCGATCCTGTCTATTACAGTAAAGGCTGCTTCATTTAGAATTTAAAGCCTTCTTAACCAAATCTAAAATTTATAAAACCCTACTCCTATATTTTTTAATTTGAATTTCCTATCCGTTCTTGTTCGTCGTTACTTGTGTATGAGGTAGATATTCTGTGGTAATTAAAACCTTATCAAACGAAAGATAATACACTTTAAACAGGCGGAAATTATGCACAAATTGAGGTGGTGCAGGCCACCGATTCCCGAAATCCCACCCCGTCATTTAAGAGTATGGCATCTTATCTACTATTCGCACGTTCGGTTGCACACATTTAGAAGAGGCTGACATTGTAACAGAGAGCGACAGTCAATCCGAGAATTTATTCGAGCCTAGGTCATATCCCATTGTTACGAATATCAAAGGACGTCTGACGAAATATCCAGGAAAACAGATGCAGGCGGACTCAAAGGGAAACGCGTGATAAATAGGATGCGAAGTTACATTACTTTCGCTGTAACCCATGAACAAATCAATAGGTTGATCAGCTCAGAGGCAAGATTTTGGGCCCCAGTGGTGTGAATTTTCAGGAAGACAAGATTCGTCGATCCTATCTAGTCTTTCGTTCCCAGTTAGTTATCCAAGAGTCGAAGCATCTAGTCGCGCGGCGAAATGATTCCATGGCCCTAACACTGATCCGTAAACGGATCCTAATAATATTATACTAGCTTCTTTCTAGCATATCAGATTTTCAAGCCTGTGTGCGGCCTGTGATCTGCTTAGTTGACTAAACACCACCTGTGCCGACCACGCCAGAACATATTTTGCGTCCGGGAAGTACCTGCTACAGTAAACCAATCAAAAAACTGACCGTAAACTAAGCAAAGGGGCTAACCCTGAGAGACTGTGATATTATCAGAGGATGCTTTGTTACTGTGATGAAGAATATTAGCGCAACACACAACTGGGCGCAGACTCGCGGAGATAAGCCAACCTCCGTAGGAGCATACATCCCTACATTACAATGTTTTAGCGGCATTTTGTTAACAGCCTACAACGCCAGCGAAAGAAACAGAAAGTGATAATAGAAAACCCCTTATGTCAGAAATTCCCACGAGAAGTCAACGGGTAATTTAGTCACTGACGTGAATTCCAACAGAATAAAGCAAAACAGTTTCAGTGAACTTCGCTGCTGCAAGCGTGTGCCAGTGATATTACGTAGCAAGCCCATGGAATTCCATGTCCTAGCAACCAGGAATAGGTTGTAAACGTTTTGCTAATCATCTGATTGATTGACGCGGCACTCAAGGAATTGTCAGCTCTACGCACGCCACAGCCTACTCCACTCCAAAATTTCCCTTCTTCTTGCGTAAAGCGTCCGTGCGCCTACCGAAACTTCGGTCGTGCTCATCGCGCATAGTAAAACGGATCAAAAGCACGCATGTGTGCACGTAGCGTTCGCCAGACAGAAAGCCAATGGATGAGGAGAAAGCAGTGGCGCGCACAATGTATGCGCATATTTATAATTGTGGGTCTTGACGCTGATGGTGGGGCGTGAAAAATAGTTTGGTGTTAATCGAATGTCTGAATTCCTGAAAAACAGAGCACATGGTTATGATTTCCACTGGGTACAAATGCACTGCTACCAAGTAAAATTGTGCATAATAAGAGACTTGTAGCATAGAATATCGCGGCATTTCATTATAGACGCACAAGGAACATATAAATTCAAGTTCTGGGAAATAGTGCGTCACTAGACAGAGGCTCCATCGTAAAGCAGATACAAAATGCTTATCTGAGGTTCATTATTTTAAAAAATACTTTAAAATATACACATTTCACAATCTATACCAAGACACAACATGAGGCACAATAAATCGATCAGGCTCACAATGCAAGGCAGACAGGCACTACACCAACTCATGTCCACGATAGGTTTAAACAATCTCTTTGCCAGTCGGCCATATAATCAGACCGGATAAGCATTGAAGCGCCCCGTTTTAGTTATGCCGAGTTTGAGAGTGATAGTGAATACTTTGGATTCAACTGCTCTTTTCTGCCCGCTCCTGAGCCTTGTAAGCACAAATCGCAGGAAAGTCAATGTGAAATAGACACGCCCGAGCCTCTGACACCGGAATAGTCTGTGCATTTATAATAAGAACGTCTTAATCTCGCATGAAGAACTGAAGGGTTCAACTCATAAATATCCAGGGGACAGCTAGGGACGTTAGAAGGAAGAAAGTTCCTACTGTCTCGCAGGCCCATCTTCACTATTTCGATTCTCCAATCCTGTGTGCCAAGGAAATTTTTCGCCGGCATATCCTGTTGACCTTCGCCCGAAAAAGTCGCAGGATTATTGGCTGTTGGATTATTCTGTCAGCTTTGGATTTGAGGCCAATCTGAGGCCAGAATACCATAATAAATGTCCTAAGAATCCTACTGGCCATATATAGTGGTATGGTATGATTTCCATATACTCATTAGTCTATTTAATGTTAACCAGTCAACAGTCGGTCTGGAGGGATCAGAAATACGCTTGACGTTCCACACTGATCATCTTAGACCGGAGACTGCCTCCCCGTCCTAGTAGCAAATCTACAGCAATACATATTTTCGATTCATGAGGGATATTTGTCCCCACTTCGCCATGGATTTACTCGTGAAAAGTCTTGAAGCGGCGCTACATGGCAGCAGAAACGCGTTTCATCAAAGTTCCATTTTTCCGTTGTCTAGCAAACCTTCCACCTCCATATCTCGTCAACATGTCATTCCTTTAAGTGAAATGGAGCAGAAATAATTGTTAATTGGAAAATCTTTATTCAAAAAAGGCATGTAATCTGTCTTCTATAGCTTATGCGGACTTTTCCCTGGGATTGGGCCGAAAGAAAGACTGTGGATTGTAGGTGGGAAACGAATATTTAGGCAGACAGTGTGAATCATCGCCTTCTCCCATAATTGAGTCAAGTTTACCGCGCCCTTTTCGTTAGTCCTCTCCTAAGTTGCCCGGTAAAGGCTGGCTCGAATTCACAAGCACCTATTCGACCGTCCCTGTTCCAGCACGCGTATATTTTTACTGTGCAAATTGTTAGAATGTTTCTCTCGTAACATATATCTAATCATCTCAGAAATTGGTGATGTTAAGAGCCCTTGCTTAGTCTTCTTGCTTCCCTAAAATTAAGGTACATTGTCATCTGATCGTAAAATAGGGAGTAAAAGACTCTCCTGGCGAAGTTGTCTATGGGATGTCCGCCGGGGCAAGATAGTAAGGTGAGCTACAGGTGTCTCGTAAGAAGTACTTATACTTTACCAATTGTTCGTGGTTTTACGTGCCCCGCAGCCGCTAGTTGACTTCAGTGAAGTCATCCCAGATGCTGATCAGGCAACTCAAGGGATTATGTGGAAAGTAAGCTGTTTGGTCCGCTGATTGGCCATTGCGCACCACGCAGCCGGTCGCGTGAACTTTGGTTGCATTTTATCAACACGGCTACTTGTCGTTTTAGCAAACGTATGTCCTCTTGCAGACGTCTCTGTCCATTAACCAAGGTGAGCAGCGTTGAGTCAAGTATGCGGTCATAACGCTCTACAGGGTCATTGAATCACAAGCTACTGTTGGATACGATATAGTCTATCCCAGAATCCGAGAGAGGAGTATCCAAACGGTTACAAACAAGTAAATAAGAAGAAATTTGTTTGCAGATAAAAGCACGTGCTTGTTCAATGTGTTATTTAAAAGTTGTGTGAAGTTTACGAAAGGCATATTTAACTAAGTAAAACAAAGGGGCAGTTTAGTTTCA